ACTGCACTTCTCTTGTCTTAGTGAAACATAACGCAGGTTGTTTGTTTTCCTTTAGGAAGTATTACTTAAGAGAGCAGCAGACCTTGTTGAAGCCCTATATGGGATGCCCCATAACAACCAGGTAGGTCACCAACGCGGTCTTTGTTCCCATGCTGACATGTGTAGATCAATACCTGCTCTTTGCAGAGCTGGCAGAGCATCAGCACGTTCCCTTTGTACACAGCTGGGCTTTGCCAGCCACCTTGAGGGCAGTCTGATGTGATGCAATGCTCCGAGGGAAACGCTTCATCTTCCCCTTCTCCTCTCGCCGCTCGTTTGCCCATCAGAAATGACAATTAAGTGTAAGGTGCCAAAAGCATAAGCAAGCATTAAGGCAAGAGAATAACCTTGAACTCGGGCCAAAATATACAGTGACTAATGGGAAGTCCTAAAGAAATCTGCTAAACCGAGCGGATCAGACCTACTGTATTTTGCAAACTGCTGAAAATACATCTCCTGTCCTGGGCGAATAAAACGTGGGGATTTTGACTTGACTTCCAGTGTTAAACTCTGATTTTATGTTAATTTCTTCATTTCTTTATACTTACTGTGCTGAGGTGGAATTGTAGGGAGGAAAACAGGAGGTGTTGCTGAAACACGCAGCAAACTGCCCACCGTCACTGTAATTCCACGTGAACCTCTTTGGTAAATTTTAGCGTTATTGCGACTTGGGCTATTTGCGCAAATCATCGTCCGGGTTGTCAAGAGCCCCTGTTCTGTCTTTCCAGGAGATAATCCTGAAACGAGCAGCTGACATTGCCGAGGCGTTGTACAGCGTGCCCCGCAACCACAACCAGATCCCCACTCTAGCCAACACTCCCGCTCACACCGGCATGATGGGGGTGAACTCCTTCAGCAGCCAGCTCGCCGTCAACGTCTCTGAAACATCGCAAGCCAACGACCAAGGTAGGCGTGATTTCAAGAGTTAATCCTCCACCTTGATGACTGCTTTTGGCCAGTGCCATCAATTCGAGATGATGTCACTGCCCTGTCCTATCTCTTTCTCTCTCCTTACTCGTTGTGTCTGAAATGCCGTCTTTAACTTTCTCGAAATATTTAATTCTTCCTGTTCTTTCATTTGCTGTTATCATAAAGCATCTCTACTGGGGGAAAAAATACAATTGGCAAAGTGTAGAAAGCTCTTTGTTATTCACAGTAAATATACAACGTGTATGTTTTTTTTTATATATAAAATAATTATGTCTAGGTACCTCCACCTGGTTTTGGAATATTTACACAGATAAATCTAATTTGATGTCTGTGATTTTAAAATACTTTGTTTGTAGGCATGTGTGACATATATGTTACTAATAAAAGTAATAGTTGATTTAATTTACCTGTTGTAATTGAAAATGCATGTAGCATATTGCATTTGAAATTAATTTTGATACTAATGAAAGGAGGGAAACAGGATTATTAGATATGTTCAAACGCATATTTTTTTTTTGCTTGCAACGTAATTATTAAATTGATTGCTCAGATAGGAACAAATTGTTGTTTAAAATCCTGATTCTGCTATGTTTCCTCTTCTAAAAAGATTGTCTTTTAATACGTCTCCAAGCTAATAAGCCTTATAAAATTCTGTTCTTGCTCTTGAATTAGTTTTCACTGATGGCTACACCTTATGAAAGCTTGTTGTTAGCATAAAAATATCAATCACAAAATGAAGACCCCAAAACAGCCTTTTAAAGTAAATCACTGCAACAAAAAAGTTTTTCTTGTCAGCTCTGGCATTTGAAGGTCTGGAGAGGCTGAAAGTTCACGCAGTGTGTTGGTACAAAGCGGGACTTGAGCCTGTTGATAATTGCTCCTAAAGACAAACGTGAAGGCACCTGACACAGCTGGATCGAAGAGAGCTTTTGTTGGCTGTCTGTGCTAAGAGGAGAGACAACATAGAGTGCTCGCGGATGATTTAAGTAGGGTTGGCGTGATAAGGTTATCTCAAGCTGCAAGAGTTGATAGGGCAGTGAGAGACAACTCAGAGCAAAGCTGTGCAATCAATTAAAACTGTGTAATATATGCTGCATGAGGAAACCCCCCAGCCCTAAGTCTATCTTATAAAATAACATTATTTTTTTGGGGTGGGGGGGTTTCTAACACAGTAGGTTACAGTCGCAACACAAGCAGTGTTTCCCCGCGAGGATATGTTCCCAGCAGTACTCCTCAGCAGTCCAATTACAACACAGTCAGCAATAGCATGAATGGATATGGCAATGCCGGCATGCCCAATCTAGGTGTACCAGGTTCCCCTGGATTTCTTAATGGCTCCTCAGCTAACTCTCCTTACGGCAGTAAGTGTCTATTTTTGGTAACGCATCATCATATAGATTCATATTTACTACAAAAATCAACTTCCTTGCATTGTTTTGATTTTCCTCTGTTGTCAGCTACTGGATAAAAGGAGGGGTGACTCTGGAGGCTGGACGTAAAAATGAAAAATGATAAATTGATCTGTTTTGTGCCAGAATACAATCTCAGACAGAGAAAAAAATAAACCAAACCGAAACAAACAAACAAACAAACAAACAAAAAATAAAACAAAATAAGAATTGGACTGCGCAATTTGTAACAAAAGTCCAACACAAAAGAGTTTGCCTGTTATCCAGAGAGTGGCCAAGCCAAGGCATTTCATTTTTATTTTTTTATATATATTTTTTTTATATATATATATATATTTCTATATATATTTTAAGAGGCAAGGCCCTATCACTCTCTTTTTTTCCGTGTTTGCCGTGAAAACCTCAATCTGAGTCCTGATTATTTTTGCTTTATTGCAGTAGTGCCGTCAAGCCCTACCATGGCAGCCTCTTCGGTCACCCTCCCTTCAAACTGTAGCAGTACACACGGCATTTTCTCATTCTCACCTGCCAATGTCATCTCTGCAGTGAAACAAAAGAGCGCCTTCGCTCCTGTTGTCAGGCCCCAAGCCTCTCCTCCACCATCTTGCACCAGTGCAAATGGAAATGGACTTCAAGGTGAGCTGGATCTCTCTCAATTTTCTGTGTATTACCTTTTTTTTTTTTTTATTTTTGGTGCATACACTCAAGCCCTGATGGTTTCTCTGGGAGAAAGGTACCTGGCTAATTTTATTTCTTTAGGTTCCCGGTGCTCTAGTAGTGATGCAAAAGCAGGGGGAGAAATAGGGTAGCACAAATGGTCTGCTGAGATCTTTAGTTCATTTTTAACACTTGCATTAGAGAAAGCACTAGTTGTTTTTCTGGTATTTTCCCATAGGAGTTTGTGACTTGAATTTTAAAGGAATACTGTATCCCTGAATGCCTCTTGGAGGGTTCATGTACTCCGTGTGTTTATATGTTTTTTGAGCACATTTCTGTGGATGTTTAAATCCAGCAGCGTTCCAGCAGGTCGTGGTGTGATTTCCTTGTTTTACATAGGGTGCAACAGTGATTTCAAATATGTCAGGTTAATATAAATCAGGTTAAGCTCTCACTCAGTGAACTAACCTTCCCCTGGACTAGGTAGCCCTGTATGCAGGGGGTTTGCATGCTCTGGTGGTCCCAGCTCGCTCTCTTACTGTGGTGTTAGAGTGGTTACATCCCTAAGTGAAATGAATATTTAAATTAAGGCAGGCAATTTTAATATTTTGCCTTTTTTTTTTTCTTCTTTCTTTTTAATCCATGTGATTTTGTGTGGGCAGTGCAAGGAACAACTTATAAACCAGTTGCAGAATTCCCATGGTCATCTGCTGGGAGTGGGGCAGGAGGAATTACAGTACAGTGTACGTTTGGTAGAAGAACAAAAATATGAACAAAGAAGTCTTCCCCAAAAAAAGACTTAGGTCCTTTTATACCACTTTTAAGATATATTTTAACATTCAGAAGACAAGACTATAGATGGATTAGAATAACTGGAATGTTTACCTCTGGTTGAGTCTCATTGTGCAGTAAATTGGAGCACTTCAGATCCCATCGAAATCAGGAAGGGTTGAGAACACTCGTACCTCGGAGGTCATCACTGCTCTTGACTTCCTCAGTTAAGAATTAGCAGTACAGTGTTATTTATTCTTTGTATTACCATGACACCCATGATACAATGAGCACTCACATTTTAATATGCCAAACAAATTCTGAACACCTGCATTTTGTGGGATCTGAAGGACACTTTGGAGAGACATAATCCCAATCCCAAAGAGCTGCCTGTCCACCACAAATCCAGATTATTCCAGATCAGGATCTCAAAATTAATGTTTCTGTAGCTTCTTTGTCACTTCTTGGCCCAAAAAAACCCTATGAGAGCTTGTTATGCACTCAGGTCAAGGAAGAGCTGAGGATTCAGCTGTGCAAACTTATTGTGTGATGAATGTTAAAGAAAAGGATAATTAGATTAACAGTTTCTTTCATATTACTTTGCTGGAAGCTTCACTATGTTACTACTGTAGAGAGAAAACTATATTGATATTCTTAGAAAGAATAATCCATTAATAAAATAATCCAGTGTCCTACTTTCCTCTTTTTATAAAAAGACACTACTATGAAAAGTAAATACTGAAATAAAGTAATGAAAAATAAAATCTTAAAAATAAAATCTTAAAAATAAAATACTAAAATAAACTAAAATAATAGAAATAAAAGACATTAAAATGAATAAAATAAACAAAATAAAATATTATAAATGTGGTAACACATGACAGATCTGAGGCAACTCCTCTGTAGCAGATATTTATATATATATTCATACTAACTTGTTGATTGTGATTTACTCTGAAAAATACAATTATTCAAACATCTAAACTAAAATGATCTGAATTTCTGTAATTTCAGTATGTAAATACAGGACTTCCCATCAGATAGTCAAGGGTTTAGGTGCTTAAAAGCTCTGGATTACTGCAAAGTGGGGTTTTAAGGAGAACTGGGTGGGCTGAATGCCTGCACCAAGCACCCAGTGTCCCTTGGCAACTCCCCAAACCTTTAATAATTGTACATCTCCAACCTCAAATGCAAAATGCTTCATATATAAAGCTCAGAAAATGCCTTTGAAAGAACCAGTACTGATTTTGTTAACTAGGTCATGAATTTAACTCTTAGGCTGAGCCCAACCCTGCTCTGGACTAAGCTTTTCCATGGCCAGACAGCCCAGTGAAGACCTAGCAATGCCACTAATCCCTGATTTTAGGATGCTGCAATCCAAGCAGCAGACCTGGTGTAATCCTTTTCGATTTTGGTTCAGCACCCAAACTGAAAATAAATAGAAGTGTTGAAAACAAACAAACAAACAATTGCCATTTTTTCCTCAACTGGCTGAATGGAATCATTTTGTGTTGAGCAGAATGACCCAGAGAAATAGGAAGAATGTCCTTCTGGTCTGGTAATTAGAGCAACAAGTTGTGGTAACTAGAGCAGGGTTGTGACAAAAAGTTGAATTGTTTATGCAAAGTAGCACCACAAAGTGATGCTCAGTATTGTGAGAATTCAGGAACTTACACAGAAACAGAGAATCCTGGAACAGGTCGGGTTGGAAGAGACCTTAAAGACCATCTAGTTCCAACTAAGGGCAGAGACACCTTCCACTATCCCAGGTTGCTCCAAGCCCTGTCCAACCTGGCCTTGGACACTTCCAGGGATGGGGCAGCCTCAGCTTCTCTGGGCAACCTGTGCCAGGGCCTCACCACCACCTCACCTCACTCAGGTTCCTTCAGCTTCAAAGCACAGGCAACATCACTTCTCCCAGCCAAAACTATTAATTCAGACTGAACTCACAAAAGGTTTCAGGTTGACAACACTTCCCCCTGTTGTCCTCACAGATTTCAACCACTGCCTTGAACTGAACTGCAGACAGAACTGAGTGGCAAGACAGGGATGAATTCGTCATTCCCTTCCTTCATGAGATGTCATAAAGAAAAGCCACCAACACTCCTGTGTTGGTGTTTATTTACTGCATTTGACCCATACAGTTCTTTAGGGAATTTTTGCTTCTTTCTTCGTATTTTCTTAGTCATTTGTGGAAACTGAGCCCTTTTTAAAGTTGCTTTCTGGACACTGTGCAAGCAGCTTGAAAGTCTTCTAATCAGCACATTTTCTACATTAAGTTAAAATTTGGAATTCAAGAGCTGCAGTCCAACGCAGCAGAAGTTTTTTTTTTTTTGTGATCTTGAAGTACAGTCTCAAAGGAGCTGAGTGGCAGAGGAAGAGTCTGCACTGTTAGGAATGGTCACACACATTTGGACAAGCCAAAAGGGAAGTAAGAGCTCGTGGTCACTGTTGTTGTATTGGAGGTAAATCCTTCAGTTTATGGAAAAGGAGGGACATGGACAAGAATGGATAAGAATGAAGACACAGGTGGTCCTTTCACAGGGATTTGGGGGTTCACTGCACTGATCCTTGCTGGTTAAACCACCGCAGGATGTCTATGTGTGGGGAAAATGCCGTTCTTGGTACACCTCAGATGGCAAGAACATAGGAGCAGAGCTATGAAGCTCCACCTGGAGTTCAGGTAGATATTTTTGTCTCCTAACAAAGTATGAAGCAGAGGTTGAGTTGCTCTACCTCCTGGCTTGTGCTAACATCACCCTAAACATCAGAACCACCTGAGCCCTCCTCACTAGAAGCAAGATCTTGCTGCCAGGAAGCACGACCCCAAAACCCACTGTACTGTAGGACCTACTGCCCAAGAGTGAATGTGGCCTTTAGCCAATATTCTTTTTCCTAAAGAGATCCAGGACACCTGCTAGTGGAAGGTCTCCCTGCTCATGGCTGGAGGTTGGAACGAGATGGTCTTTAAGGTCCCTTCCAACCCAAACCAGTCTGTGATTTTATGAAGACAGAGGTTAAGAATAAAAACAAATAAAAAAGAAGACAATCTGGGGAGATCTCAGAGGGGTCAGGGTGCAGGCCATGACAGCCTGGGCTGATGTGTTGCCTTCCCCCTTGCTGCACCCATGTCAGCTGCACATCCATCCCCAGCCAGCCGGTACCTGATCAGGGTCAACGCTCGGAAGCTGCAACTCACAGAGGAGACACCTCTCTCTCTGCTGTCCCGTGGCCATGACTCACTCCTGTGACTAAGCCTACAGAAAAGGGCCTTTGGGCCGTATCCAAAAGGCCACAATCTTTTTCAGTCCATATGACCTCCGTTGCATAATCCATGATTAGAAAGTCAAGTACTCACACACTTTTTTAAGAGCAGGCTCCTATGTATGTGTTCCTTTGGGCAGAGAGTCTTTTCCTGTTTAAAACAATGGACATTTAAGGTATAAAATATTTTTTTTAGTGAGAAAGTACTGGCTCGCTGCAAAGTTGGAAGTACAATATGTGTTCAAAATTTGGTTTTCAATTGTAATTTACTTTCTATAGATTGTGAAAGATATTGCTCTCTGGTTATAGGACTGTAATGCAGAGCACAAGGGTTTCTATATTCTTTTAAAATTGCATCCTGCTTAATTTTCTCATCTTTCCCTGGATGAAAGTATTAAAATTATTATTAAAAAACTAGCCAGCTCATTTTTCTTTAAGAAGGCATTTGGTATCAATTTGCACAGCAGGAAGCACAGTGCAGAAATTCGCAATTGTCAAATGCTGCCACTAAAAAAACAGTGAAATAAATGTCTGGAGCACCAACCTTGCAACCCCCTCCCATTGTGCCACAGGGAGAATTCAACAAAAATGGTTAAATTAAAAAATTTAGACTTCCCTCCCCCTCCCGCCCAAAAAAAGCATGCAGTAGATAATATAATTTTCACACAGTAGAATCATAGCATCCCAGAGTGGTTTGGGTTAGAAGGGATCCTTAAAGACCATCCAGTCCCACCCCCTACCATGGGTAGGGACACCTTCCACTATCCCAGGTTGCTCCAAACCCCATCCAAACTGGCCTTGAACACTTCCAGGGATGGAGCAGCTGATGCTGTTATTGCAGCATGGTCCTGGAGGACATGTTTTAGTGGTGGTGAACATGGTGGTGGCACTGGTTGATGGTTGGACTTGATGATCTTAAAGGTCTTTTCCAGCCTTTATGGTTCTGTGACTCTATGATAACATTTTCAGCACCCTCCAGTTCAAGTGCACATCAGGTAACCAGACTGACGTGGTGACAGGTTTCCTGCTGACTGAATCCCACAGGACAAGCCAACCTGAGAGCAGGGGTTTGGCAGGTCCAAACACGGGGCAAGGTCACCTGCTGGCCAGGGCTGATGCAGTGTGGAAGAGAGGAGGTTTAGTGAAGGGTTGTTTAAAGGGTTCTTTAAAGGGTGTTCAGGCATTGGAAGGGACTGTCCAGGGAGGTGGTGGAGTCCCCATCCCTGGAGGTGTCCAAGAAAGGACTGGACGTGGCACTCAGTGCTCTGGGCTGGGTGATGAGGAGGGGATCGGGCACAGGGTGGACTCGATGGGCTGGGAGGGCTTTTCCAACCTTAGTGATTCTGAGATTCTGTGAAAACATGATGAAGAAACTACATGTTTTGGGTCAACAGGGTCTCTGTCAATAACTCTGTGCAGTTAAATTTTGTAAGTCCAGTTGCTGTTCAGTTTTAAAACATTCAGTATTATAAAAAACGTGAAATTATAACTTCAGTTTCAATTTCAACATATTTGTTAGGTCTAACTGGGGAAAAAAGTGGCAGAGTTGGAAAACTTTAACCTGTTTCAAGGGCATCACTTGAGCTGTGCTTTAGAGAACATCCCATCTAAATCCTTCCCAGAAATGGTGCCAGAAGGACCAGAACTACTCAGGGCTCTGGGTGCATCCGTTGGAGCAGCACTGATGGTGCAGACCAAGCTGCTGTAGGAAGTTGTGTCACCTATGAAATGTGTATGGACCCGGCTCTTCCAAACCGTAAAGCTGTAACAGCGAATCAGAAACAAATTAATATTGTTGAAATTAATGAACTGAGAAATTGAAGTTCACATCACTACATGAACAAATTTATTAATATCTGTTGTACATAAATTAATGAGAAATATCATTATGGCAAAAATTAAACAACACTAAAATTAAAGACTGTCTAAATTATGTTTCTACCAAAGAGTTAACTAGGAGAAAAAAACAGTGGTTGTTGGCATATCAGTCTTTACCTGTTAAAAAACTCAGGATGTGGCTGGTCAGGGCTATTGATAGAATCACAGAATCACAGAATATGCTGAGTTGGAAGGGACCTACAAGGATCATCGAGTTCAACCCTTAGCCCTGCACAGGACCATCCTCAAGAGTCACACCCTGTGCCTGAAGGGTATCATCCAAACACTCCTGGAGCTCTGTCAGCCTTGGTGCTGCGACCACTGCCCTGGGGAGCCTGTTCAGTGCCCAGACATCCTCTGGGGGAAGAATCTTCTCCTGATATCCAACCTAAACCTGCTCTGACACAACTTCAGGCCATTCCCTCGGGTCCTGTCACTGTTTTTTTATGGTGTTTGAGCTCCAGAGTTGCGAGGAGGTTTAGGGTCCTTGGCTTTGGTCTTGGAGAGTTCTTGGCTTGCTCAGTCCTGCTTTTATCATAAAGTAGAATCATGGAAAAGGAGGTTTTCTGCAAGGGGGAGGTCTGGGCAGGAAGTGATGGTTAGAGGGGATGTCCCCTCGGAATGGTGTTGTGGTCAGCAGTGTTGTCAGGAGCCTGGAGAGCTGTGCACAGGAGTCAGGGTGCCCTTCCCTCAAAATCCTGCTCAGAGCCTCCTTTCCCAAGGAGGAGCCCTTTGTTTTGCTGTGAACAGCGCGTGTCCATGGTCCCTCGGTCCAAGGATGATGTGGAGGAACCCGGCTCTGCATCCTCCCAGCCCGTCCCGTTTGAGCATCGCGGTGGCTTTGAAGCAGCTGTGCCTTCCCCCCAGCGCAGCAATAACGGCTCCTTTCTCTTCTCTTTTCTCTTTTAGCCATGTCCGGGCTTGTAGTCCCGCCAATGTAAAGTCACTTTTGTTTACCTACCGTAGCACCAAGCTGCAGAGGATGGGCTTAGGGGACAAGTTTAGTATATTAAGACATGCTGATGGGAGCAGTATCTTCACGCAGAATCAGCAACAAATCGAAATGCTACAGGAAAAAACACAAACAAACAAAAAAAAAAAAAGGAGGAAAAAAAAGACTTTGTTTAAAGATTTTATTTAAACTATTAAGAATCTACATGCAAACAACCTACTTCTTCATGAACAATTCCATTTTATTGACTGAATTTTTCTCATATTTTCACATTTCTCAGTCCTGGAGAATAAGGAAAAAGCGACGCCTATTTTGTATAAAGTTTCTGATTACGTCTTGGCTATGTCTAGTACTTGCTATGTGTTGGGAGAAACTTTGTGGATGCACCATTTTGATTATCATGAAACACTGATGAAAAATGCCTCCGAACATTTTTCTGTACTCATAACTAGATTCACAATGGTTGTGTATCTCTATAATGTGAAATATTTTTTTGTGGTGGAAAAAAAGGGGGCCAAGGAGGTTATGAGCCATCAAACTGGAAAAAAAAAATAATAAAAAAAAATAAGGATGAATATATGATTAGAAAAAAAACCAAACAAAAACCACACACAAAAAACCGGGGCGTGGGGGTGGGCACGGGAGGGGGTTTATCGTTGCTTAACTTCATCTTAATGAAATGGAACTTTGTAACTTATTGTAGTTAGAAATTGTAACTTTGATATTGAATTCTCTTGCCTTCAACAAGCACACTGACAGAGAAAAAAAAAAATTGCTACTGTCTGTTGGTTTAAAAAATGAAAAAAATATACTTCCACTGCTAGAGCTTCCTGTTAAGCAAGTGTGATCTGCAACATTTTTTCAACTTTTGCTAGCACTGTATACTATTGCATTTTAGGCTACTGTGAAGTCTATGTTTCTTGTACCAGAAAATTGTCCTTTTGACTTCTAGATCCTTCTTCCCTAATGTGTTTTGTATGTGGTTATAAAATTGTAGACTTTTGTGATTTTGCCAAAGTTGTAGCTAAATATTTATACACTTGTCTTGAATTTTTTTCAGATCCACTTAAATATTTAGAAAACAAAAAGCAGATTTTATTCCTTATGGAGGCTATAAGGAATAAAATAGTCTTACCCATCGCAACACTTTCTTTCACATAAACACTTGCAGTCACTAAGGGAATTTATTTTGTAACATATCAACTATAAATATTGTATTTATCTTTGAAATTTTGTATATTGCTTTTTTTTGTTTGCTTGTTTTTTGGTTTATTTTATTTTTTTTTATTTTTATGTTCCTGTATGTATTGTTTTTTGTCCTGGCCTGGTATCATGATGCTGAAAAAAGCATTAAGCCAAGAACCATTGCCTTCATGTTTTTCTTTTAAATAAATGAGTGTCCATGCATTTCATTTGTACTTCATAAAGTTGCTATTGTTTAGCCTTTCCATCCTTTTTTTCTTTATTATTTTTTTGAGGAAAAGTCAAATTCATTGTTTATTTTTATATTATTTTTAAGTTATCAGAACAAATAATTTTGAAAAAAAACGTCGTTTGTTGTATAGTCAAATCAAAATTGTGCCACATGGCTGTAATGAATACTAGTAGAATATGTGCATGTGATACAGCCACAGAAAAGATGAATCTATTTTGTGGTTGCATTTTTTAATTTCCTTTTTTTTATTTGTTTGTTTGGTTGGGTTTTTATTTTATTTTATTTTTTTAAAGATTGTAGAAAGTCATTTTTAGCTGCCACCCATGACTTTGCCACATAGCTGAACTGTGTTTACTGGAAAAATTCAGAGGCCTAAAGTTTAAAAATAAATTCACTTCTGATGTTTTAATTAAAATGTTTGCCACATGAACTTCTCTGATGCCTTAAAAGTGAACTTCTTTGAAGAACTTTTGTGACGTTTTATCACAGGCTTAAACCACAATTGTTAATCATGACTTCATTTGGATGATTTCTGGTGTAAAAAAATAAGGGGAAAAAAAAGCACAATCCCGGTGTACAATTCTCCCACTCCTTTCTGTGTCGATTTTCTGCTGCACTCTGCATTCTCCCAAACCCTGCACTGCTCCAACACGGGAAATCAGGATCACACTGAATTTTTAATGTCTGGGAGTTGTTTATTTACGTTTCTTGGGGTGTTATTTTTTAGGGAACTTTTTTGTAAATGACCCATAGCTGACTGTACTTTTTAAACTGGAATGACCTCCGTTGTATTCCGTGGCTCTTAGTGCCAAACCCAGCGAGAGGAACGTGGAGTTGTTTTTATTTTTCCTTTGCACTAACTGGTTTGCCAGCACAGCACTGCAAAACACGTTGCAAACTGCAGCAGAATTCATGTTTTAACCAAAAAGGAGGGATGGTTTTTTTAAATTAATTTTATTATTATTTTTAATTTTCTTTTTTTTTTTTCTTTCTGGGCAAAAAAAAAAAAAATGCACATTTTAGTAAAGCTTTTATTAAAGGGTTTAGAAGAATGATACAGCTCTGTGAGCATGGCCAAGGCTTGGCTAAGTGGGAAAGCCTGAGAAGTCACTTTGGAACTGAATTGCCTCCGTTATATTTTGTCTAAGTAAGGTTTTGCTCTAAAAAAAAAAAAACAACGAAAGAGGTCACGTGTACATGTTAAGAAAGTCTGCAAGTTCCTTCATAAATGCAATCTGTTTGTGTTTTAGATTAATTAGTCAATGCACTCATTGCTTCATTGTCTCCAGACGAAAAGCTTCACTAAATGGTAGATTTTACTGTTAAAGACCCTACAATAAGATTGTTTTATCTGTACATTTTTTCATATATTTAACTGTATAAAAAAATGTTCATTTTACACAATATTTAATTAAAGTATTTCTTGTCTGTGAATTTCATTTTTAGTAATTTTATCTGGTTTGATTATTAAAAAAAGTGACTAAAACATGAAATGAAAAAACGCAACACTGGGGGTTTCATTTCTAAATATCAGAATTTTTATTTCTTGGTTATGAAAAAGCCCAACCCTTGACATGGTCTTTTCAGTTCCCTGGGAGGAGGATGAGGAAGGAGATTTCTGCTCCACAGAAAAATGCCTTTTACTCAACCTTGGTGCAGCATTTAACCAAAACTACTCACTTTTTGTGAAGGTAACAGAAGAATATCTCTTTTTCTTATTTAACCAAAGCTGTGCACTTTAGACACCCTTCTTGTAAAGTGAAGGTAACAGTAGATTTTTTTTTTTCCCTATTTTAATATCATATTGTAAAAGCCTGTAAACAGGAAAAGTTATTTTAAACAAAGCACAACCCAAATTTTCCGTGCGGCACTTGGACACTGAAGGTCGACGTGCTCGTCTTTTAACTGCTGATAAGGAAGCAAATGCTTTGGCTAATTATAATACTGAGCACAAATATTTCACCCTCTGGACCACAGTATGTGCTGTGTACAAATAATGGAGTTAAAACACATATATATATATGGGAGGGCACGATGCAGCCTCTGAGTCAGGGAGAGTTACAGCGCTGTACTTGATTCCAGGTCTGAGTTCCCCATCCCAGATGCCAAGTGTGCTCCTGTATCGTTGTGTATGAGCAGTAGCAGCAAAAAAAAGGTGTTGGTTTTTGGTTTTTTTTTGTTTTTTATTTTTTTTTCACAGGAATATGGGTCTGGTAGAGCAATGTCAGTGCCTATGGTGCTAAAGCAGGGAGTTTGTTATGGATTTTGATCCGGTCATTAATCAGAGGGCTGCTGACAACTTCGAGAGGGCACTGAGAAACTCTGAGCTCCAAAGTAAATACATGGACTGGTGCATGTGGATGTAGTGCCAAATAACACACCGTGTGCCAGAGCCCCTCCTTCACCACCCTGTGTCTTAGTGGTGGAGTGTGATGAGAAGGTGCAGCTCACTGTAGTCACAACCTACAAAGGAGAAAACCGGGATGTTTAACCATGTTTCCTCTGTTCTCCATTATTTCCATAGTTATCACGTTTGATGAAAACAGGTGTGATGAAAACAGGTGTTAAAGCACTTTTGATTATTATTATTATTATGCATTGAAAACTGTTCTACTTTGAGTGTGTATCCATGTAACGTGTTTAAACAGCGGCATAATCAGATGCATCCCACTAAAAAAATAAGATGGTTTTTAGGGATGAAAGTCTGCGTGATGCCTACTGGCGCTTTTCCTTTTAGGTTTATTTCAAAGGTTTGAATAATGAGCATCTAAATGGTTCCTCTAACTTTCAATGCAAAGGAAATACAAAAGGAGAAAACCCACACAAGCTGTACGAGGAGTGACAAGTCCTAGAGCGATCCACCACCTACATCTGTAGCTGGGTAATAGTCCTGGTGAGGAAATATGTTGTGTCAGCCTACGGTGAGTTTAGACATAGGAAGATGATAAAAATTCCTTAATCAAAAATGAAGGAATAAGAGTGTCTAAAAGTATACGCCAATTATTGCAGAGCAGCTTTTAAAAGTCTTTCAAGCTTTCAAAGATTATTCAAAGCACTTGAAATAGGCTTCAATCTAATGCCTCATTTCATTGCATTAAACAGCCTAGTTAATAAAGAATCAATATATTCAAAGGGCAAGGTTATCTTTTGTCTATAAGGGGTGGTGTCATTCTGAACCTTTTATAGTTCAAATGCTGAAAAAGACCTCATGAAATCCATACTCATCAAGTGGGTCAACTAGAGCAATAAAGAGGCCTCTGAAAGAATGGCTGCACTCCTTTAAAACAACTATAAGTCTTATCTCCCCACATAGTCCTCGCCAGGCTCCGGCAGAAAATGTCAATTTCTCATCAAGACAAGAGGCCCGACGATAATTTTTTTCCAGAGAATACACACAATTAGGAGAATGCAGAAAGGCCCCACCAGTGATTTGTAGCTTATTATGTCACGGGCAAGCTGCGATCCGCTGCTAAGCAGATAATAAGGGCTGTTGATAACTAAAGTGTCGATACGGCACAGAATGATTTTTGAATGTGAGCCCTTGTGCTTCCCCTCCCCTCCTCAGGCAGATCCCGGGGCCGATAATGGTGCATCTGCCAACCGACACCGCCCGCCGGACCCCACAATTAATGCCGTGAATAAATAGCACAAAGGAGCGGAGATTC